GGCGGACCCTTGGCACGCAGGCGCCGGCGTATGCGGGCGACCAGGACGCGGGGCCGGCGTCTGGGAGGAGGACGAGGACGCTGGCAGCGGCAAGGCCGCGGCTGCCGGGCCGCGCGGCCGCGCAGAGAGGGCCTCTGTGGAAGAGGGAGTTCTCGCCACGCGTGCCGCTAGAGGAGCTGCTGCCACCGAGTCCGCCCTGTCGCCAGACCCGCGAGAAGTGGGTCAATCAGGTCGTGCACGGGGGGAAAGGCGACTACGTCGAGAAGCGCGTCACTCGGAGGCAGCGCACCTCGAGCTCCTCCAGCACTGGGCCCGCGTCAGAGGGCCCCGGTCGGGCCGCCCGCGGGGAGAGGGCGCTGGCCGCGCGCTCGAGGCGGCGGCTCCCGAGCTACCTCGAGGAGAAGTTCAGGGCCGAGGGCGACAGGGGCACTTTGCTCGAGAAGCAGGCCGTCTCGGACACGGTCCATCTCGAGTACGCCTTCGAGGTGGCGGCTCTCAAGACCTTTGCAGCCGTGCGGGGCCTGAACATGGAGCACGCCGAGGCCGACGCCGTGGACGCCGCTTTCGCGTCATACCTCGAGACGTGCTTCTTCAATGGCTTGCAGCCGTCCACTGGGGCGAAGGCGCTGGCGGGCTGGATCCGCTGCCACCCGGCCTGCGGACGCAGGGGCTCTCTGAAGCTGCCCCTCGCCTAAAGGGCGCTGCAGGGCTGGCGGAAGCTGCGCCCAGGGCGCCCCCGCAGGCCGGAGGGGCTGGGCGTGTTGAGCGGGCTCGCGAACGCCAGGTGCCGTCTCTGCCGCCCTCGGATGACTGTGTCCGTGGTCATGGCCGTTTCGATGATCGGAGCGCCCGACCTCGCGCCTTACCAGACGTGGCACAGCGGGCCGAGCGTGGACAGAGCGCGAGGCCCACGCTCCCTTTTAGAGGTGCAGAGGCGGGGCCAGTGGAAGTCGAACAGGAGTGTAGCTTGTAGCTCGTTACGAGAAGCACGTCAGGCTGTCCGACTCGTTTCGCCGCCACTCGACCGCGCCTCACGCGTACTTTCGAGAGTGCGAGCTTCGCGGCGCGGAGATCGTCTTCCGCGCGCGGCTCGCGCCTCTCCCACGTTCGGAGCGCAGCTGCTGCAGGACACTTACGTTGCAGACGCCTTCGCTGGCCAGGGCGGGGTCGCCAGAGCCTTGCGACGGCTCGGCTGCCAGGCGCGGACCTGGGAGATCGCGCATGGAGAGCGCGGCGACCTCACCTCCGCCCGCGTTTTAAGGGCGCTCCTCTCAGACGTTCGACGAGGACGTTGTCTCGGGGCGATGATTGCGCCGCCATGCGGCAGTTTTAGCATTGCACGCATTCGCACGGCGCCCATCCGATCCGCGTCTCGGCCGTGGGGGGTTTCAAGGAAGGAGGTCAGTTTAAAGGGCTGGATGAAACTCAAGGAGGGCAATCAGCGTTGTAGAGCTTCTCTTGCTATAATTCGCGAGTGTAACGCCGTAGCCACGTGGATCCTCGAGAACCCTTGCACTAGCTATATGTTCAAAACCCGTGAGTTCCAGCGCCTGGCCTCCTCCCCCTCGGTGACGCTTTTGAGGATGGATTTCTGTCAGTTCGGCACTCCCTGGAAAAAAGCCCACCTCTTTGTTGTGCGGAAACACTCCCGCCCAGGATCTCGAGGAACTTTCGCGGCAGTGCCGGGGCACCAGGGGCGTTTGCAGCCGAACGGGATGCAAGCGCGTTTTTCTTTCCGGCCCGGCTCCGAGTGGCCAGCGGTGGACGCAGATTGCTCAGTCGTATCCACAGCAGTTCAATCGTGCCCTTGCCTGTGCTCTCGTGGCCCCTCTGCGAGCCAGGTTCTTTCAAGCCTGAGTCACATCCAATGCTGTTTCGGGATGGTTTGGGACATCCTTCGAGCGGAGGCTTCGCTGTGCCTCGCAAATCTTCTGCTCGGCCTCTCGC